GGGTTAATGCACCAGACTGCAAAGCCATTTGAACTGCAAGGTTGGTGGTTCAAGCTCACCAGCTGCTCTTTGGAAACCCTACACCGGGTCGCTATGGGTTAGGATCAACTCAACGGCACTTAACAACAACAATAATCTACTTTTAAATAGTGTTCTGAGAATTCTACTTACATCTACTGTGTTAGCATGTAAACATTCTACTGACTTGTTAGAGCAGCTGAACTCTTCCCATAGTGTTCTGACTTGCTCTGTTTTGGTAGTGAATGTGCCACAGAGTCATTGAGGTTACTGGACACACAAGCATGTGTGTCTGTGCTTCTCTAAGTGGCCTTGTTATTTTCAAGATGAAGTGGGCTTTGTTCTATACCATTGAATGTAAATGTTTAATATGCATTGTTGAAGTTAGAAGTTTAAAACTCAATTTTATCTGGTCATAAAATTCCGGGCAAGTTATTTAGCTAGAATTTTAGCCACATTGCATTTCTATATAAATAATTATTACTTTTACTTGCTATTATACTGTAATTCTGCAAGTGATTAGAAGATTTTAGATAGCACTATAGAATTAGCTGGGGGGGGGGTTGTTGTTCTTTTTTGAATTTGGGGGCTTTCTTGTAAGAATTCCATACCCTAGCAATTAATGTTTCTCATTATCAAGAATGCAGTTTGACAGGTTTACTTTTCTTAATTGAGAAAAGACGGTCTCGTTATTTTTCTAAGGATTTAAATGAAAATTTCTCCCAGGTAATTTTCTCAAAATTATAATTGCCTTCTCAGTTCCACTTCTAAATTTAAAATATCTAGTTAGATATTTAAAATATCTAGTTAGAGCTAGGTTACACCTTGAAGAAATTGTTGTTATTGTTATATGCTCAGAGTCAGTTCCGACTCATAGCAACCCTGAACAGGGTTTCCGAGGCTGTAAATCTTCACGGGAGCAGACAGCCTCATCTTTCTCCCAGGGAATAGCTGGTAGTTTCGAGCTGCGGACCTTGAGGTTCGCAGCCCGATTCGTAACCACTACGCTACCAGAGCTCCTTTCTACACTACCAGAGATCCTTTTGAAGAAATAAGCAATGTTTATTTCTCTGTTACAACATCAGTATTTTGCATAGTAGGATCCAGTTATCTAATCATCATTAAAAATGTTGCCATTTTGGAACCATAATTTTAAAAAAAACATATAGACCATACTTACTATAAGCTATAAAACAAACCTTAAATGTAAAAGAAGAGAAATCAGACAGAGTATGCTCATTGACCCTAACAGTATTAAATTAGAAACCAATAGTAGAATAAGATCTGTAAAATTCTCAAAGATTCCAAAATTAAACAAGATGCTTTTGATACATGAAATAAAGAAGGATATTTAAATGTCAAGAGATGTTTAAAGATATTTCAAAGTCAATGAAAATTAAAATACAACATATCAAAATTGGAGAAATCAGCAAAAGCAGTGAGATAGGGAAGTTTATAGCAAGGAAATTTATAGTCCTGGTGTGGTGCTGCAGGTTAATGCGCCAGACTGTAAAGCCATTTGAACTGTAAGGTTGGCAGTTCAAGCTCACCAGCCGCTGCTTGGAAACCCTATACAAGATTGCTATGGGTCGGAATTGACTCGATGGCACTTAGCAACAACATAGCAGCAATGCTTACATTAGATGAGAAGAAAGGTAGCACTGTAGTATAAGTACTCCACCGTAAGATCAGTTTGAACTGTAAGGTAGGTAGTTCAAACTCACCAGCCGTTCCTCAGATACCCTATACAGGGTCATGATGGTTCAGAACTGGCTCAACTGAACTTAACACAACAACAAGATTCCATCAGGAAATAAAACACTAGAGAAAGAAGTGCAAATCCAGTCCAACAAGTAGAAGGAAGAGAGTAATAAATATCAGAGGAGAAATAAATGAAATTAAAACAGAAAAACCACAAAGGAAAAAAACAAGTGAAAAGCTGATTCACTAAAAAGATCAAATAAAACTGATAACACTCCAGCCATACTGACCATGATAAAAAGAAAGAAGACACAATTTATTAAAGTCAAGAATGAAAGAGGATTCTTCTAACCTCCTTATTAAGGAACCTTTATACTATTGTATTTATAACATCTATACTAGCCCTTCCTCCACCTCTGTTAATGGAAGAGAATAGCCAATAACTAGGAACTTGTTAAAAATTGCTTTTTCTTCAAATACATGTCTTGAGAAATGTTCTCTCTGTTTTGTTTTTTTAAAAAAAAGCATGAAAGAGGAGCACTATTGACAACAAAGTTTAAAAAAAATGAATTTAGTAAAGGCATTCAAAACTAGCGCGAGCCATAGACATACCCACACAGAGCTCCTTCTTTTTGGTAGATTAGAGACTACACAGAAATGAGTGAGGAAAGGAAACACCATGAACCAGGTCTCTCACTATGTGAAGCAGGGTGACAAGCTGAGGAAAGAGCCCTTCGGACAACAAGCAAAATAAGAAAATTGCAGGAACTTCAGGAAGTCCCCAGTGAGGAATAAGAGGAGTAGTGTGGGTTGAGGGTGGAAGTGAGGGTGGGTCAGGCCACACCAGGCTTGCAGCCATGGTAGGGGTTTGGAATAAGATCCTGGGCACATAGGAAAGCTAAGATGTGAAATCAGAGAGCATCATCACATGTGGATAAAGACTATAATCCTGAGGGCATGGACATCATTTTCCCATGGACATGAGTTTGTTCATCTTTACCACTGCCACTGAGAGGAGACTAGGGGCTGTACAACAAATGCTTCTTAAAAATCAAGGTATATACTTATTCATTCCTATAATTTTCATAAAATCTCTAAAAAAGTTGACCCACAAAAACTAGGTACAAGTCTTCTATAAGCATGACTGAGTCCATGATTGAGCTCCATCTTCAAAGAAGAAAGAGAATGTTGTCTTCTTGTGGTTCCTTAGCAAATCTTTCTCTCTCATCATCCTTCTCCAACTCTTCATTAAGGAGATGAGGCCAGGGAAGATGTCATCTCTATGAGAGGACCCACTAGCTGAGGTGAGAGAAGCAGGGATCTCCCCTCAACTCCACTTACCAAAAGGCATAAACTCCTGAAACTGCAAGTCCACTGAGGATCCAGGGGCAAGTCCAGTCTTTCACTGAACACCAGTTACATAGATTAAGGAGGTCATTGCAGGTGAAGGAACAAAAGCTCTTCATTTCAAAGATGTCCTTACCTGTACTTGCTTAAGCACACTTAAAGAATTGCTGCTAAATGTCTTCATATTGATAGTTGCCAACACTGTAGGGGGGTGAAAAAGGTAGTATGAAATGCATGGTGCTGTAGGATAAACACCAGACTGTGAACTGAAAGGTCAGCAGTTCAAACCTCCCAGCTGCTCCTCAGATACACTATACAGGGTCTCTATGTGTCAGAATCAACTTGCCGACACTTAACAGCAATAATAAATATGTCATCAGGGAAGGGGAAGGGGTGCAGCAGAAGGGAAGGCACACTTAAGAGTAAAGGTACATCCCACATTGCAGTATACAGGGGTTTCCACAGACATCCCATCATTGGACACCTGCAAGGACATCAGCAGGTAAGAAAGGCAAGACAGATGGTTAACCACACTACCCAGAGAAGTGGAATAGGTCATCTTAAGGTGACTCAACTTTATCAGAACTAGGAAGTGACCAATGACTTCCTGACCCCAAGCACACTTTCCAAGGCACCATTTCTTTTCTATTAAAATATCTTAAATAGTGCAGGAAAGAGTCAGTCAAAAGGAAAAGAAAACAGCAGCATATAGAAGTAGCTAATCTTGAGCTAAAGATTACCTCACAGATCCCTGAACCCATCCACCTCCTCCGCCCATGATCTCAGTGTCATCATTTAATGCTTCTACGAATGGTCCTGCTACTTCTTGATTCTCTAGGATCTACCACTTGTTCACTCTGAGTCTTAGACTGTAAGATATTTAGACCAGGACTTTTCTAGGTTAATTTTCTTACACAGCAACTATCTTCTGATTCTCCATGTGGTTCTTAGAAGTTAGTGGAGATGCTCTGATTCTAAACTATCCCCAACACCAAATTAGTTTCTGAGCCACAGGAAAATTATGGAAATACGGAAAATTATAGAAATTATGGAAAGATGAAGCAAGGAAAATTATGAGGACATAAGCACTCTGTTCAGTAGGAGTCCTGATATAATGATCTGCTTAAAGACAATATGCACAAGGTAAAAGTGATAGAGTTAGTGAGTGAACTCTTAGCTTTAACCTTGAGTTTCCATCTATTGTACTATCAGATCTCTGGGATCTATTTCAATGTACATGGAAAAGAGACATATTTGTTTTTTCTGAGACTAGTTCAAGATTTAAACTGGTTTTCTAAGAGCCTTAATTCTTCCTTATGATACTTTAAATTCATACCTCCTTTTATGTAGCCTTTGACCATGTCTTTCTCATTATCTGAGGTCAAGAGTAGTTCTACTATACCTCTTTGTAGCAATGCCTGTAGAGAAAACAGAAGAAAATAAGTGTCCTGCCCCATTTCTCTGCTCCTGTGAGAAAAAGGAAATTAGGAAATAAATACAACAAGGATACAGATGGGCAGAGTGTAAGCTCCACACCTAACACATCCCCTAACTTAGTTAAATTGAGACTCTCTGTCCCTGTATTAGCCACCCTGGTGCTCTCCATGGCCAACAGCAGAAACAGTGAGTGTAGACTTAGACACCCATGATCTCAGACCAAGGGAAAACACACAGCTAAGCAGGATGCTTTCTGCAGCTAATTTAACAGGGGACACTCTGAGAGAGACTCTAAGTCAGACAGAAAGTGAAGAGAAGACTTGGGGAACACATTATGTTCTGAGATCAGAAGTAAAAGTCACAAAACCTGTGTCACACCTGGACACTGTCAAAGGCAACAGGGAATCAAACCATGGCTACAGGGGCAGCCAGGAAATTTCTCATTTTAAAATACCATTTATTGAGTAGACAGATAGCCAGAGAACAAGATAAGATCCTGCCTGTATTTCTTATATGTATTCATTGATTCATTTCTGGTTCTGTGAAGGGAGAACAGGGGTACATTTTTTAAATCAAGAAAAAATAATGGTAGGAAAATAATATTAATTTGTAGGGTTGTATCTTTCCTGAGAAAAAGTTAAGGAAGGGAAGGAATCATGGCCCCAAAAGTCATGGCTCAGGACAGGAGCAACCCCCAAAAAGTAGCCCAGCCATGCCTTTCTCCTCTCTGAAATGTGAGCTCTCTTCCTTGCCTAACTGAGAGCCCTCTCCATTGCTCTCAAGGCCAAGAGGCCACTGTGTGGACAAAGCTCATTGGGCAAGGAAGAGGCTGGGATGGAAAGACCATCTCAGGTCAGCCCATGGAACCCTGAGATCTGCTTAACAACCTAAGGGAGAATTCAACCTGAGGGAGAACTAGAATTAGTATGAAACCTCATGAGCTTCCTGAATATGGTGAATCATAAAAGGAAGGGGCTAGACCCACCAGAGAAGACATCATACAGGACTGTAGTACTTGCCTGGCATGAGAAATCATGTAGGAGCACAGGGTACAGAAAAAAAGTATCTTACTACTAAAGGCCAGCAAGCTGCATACTGCTAGGCATCATCATTGAGTTCTTGAGGCATTATTTTCTGTGGATATGGATTCACCAAGCCCAGCTTTAATAAGAAATGCAGGTTATGAATAGCGACAGAAAGGAGTTATCTGTTAACACTATGTTTTGCTTCATAATACATTTTTAAAATACATTTCCACCTCCTTGGCTATACTGTAAATTCACAGATAAAATGAACTTGATCTTATGTATTCTTACAATCCACAGGGTGTAACAAAGTATCATACAAGCAGCGGGGACTCAGAAAATGCCCACTAGAAAAGAGTTGGATTGAGTAAGGAGGCATGCAAAAATGTAAACAAAGCAAGTCAAGGGTTTCTTACCTGGTGAATATATGGCATGTAGTTTTTATCCTTATTATAGGAGCCATATTCATTCTCCACCTGCACAGCAATGATAGGACCTCCCCGGCGATACTAAGACACAAGCAGATGAGGATTTAAGAGTGAGACTTGTTGCTGTTAAGTGCTGTCAAGCCAATTCCAACTCACAGTAACTCTTGTATAGGGTTTCCAAGGCTGTAAATCTTGATGGGAGCAGAAAGACTCATCTTTCTCCTGAGGAGCGGCTTGTGGGCTTGAACCACCTACCTGCAGTCCAGTACTTATCTAAACACTGTGCTCCTGATAAGAGTGAGTCTACTGGCAGAAAAAGCCTGGAATAGCTAAATCTGTTGCTAAAAATAATACCCCCACAGTAGTTTGCTTTGATCCAAGTTACCTTATAACTTTGGCACCATCTCTCTTGCCAGGGTTCTACAGTAACCAAGGCCCTCTGGGTACTTTGACTTCTGCAGGAGTTCTACCTTACCTGGAACTTTTGTTGTTGTTGTTCTGAAGTGTCCTAGAGTCAGTTAGGACCCATAGCAACTCTGTATAAAGTTTCCAAGGAGCGACTGGTGAGCTTGAACCACCGACCTTGCAGTTCAAACAGACTTTGCAGTCCAGTGCATTATCCCACAGCTCCATACCAGGATTCCTGGCAGTTAGTAGGTAAGCAATTACTGCAGCTTTCACTCTATTTCTCATACTAATTATCTACTTAAATGTTAGCTCTCAAACCTGCAAATCTACCTGGAACTCATCCTATCCATAAGGTCAACAGTTCAAACCCACTAGCTGCTCCTCAGAAACCCTATACAGGATCCCTATGAGTTGGAAATGACTCAAAGGCACTTAACAACAAGCAGGTTATTGACAGTAATTGAAGGTTATAAACAAGCAATTGTTGTGCTTATCATCTATATTTTACTGCTTCCCAAATCCCTGTTTTCTAGTCAGATATCGCTCTGCTGAACCACAGACCTATGTAGTAATTTCTTCCTTGTTACCTACTTGTGGATCTTGCACAAGTGCATCAAACTCAATGTATCCAAAACTCAGCCCAGTATCTTAGCAATAAAACATGCTCATTCTATTTTGTTCCAACACAGGAAATAGAATCCAGTCTCCAGAAGATCATCTCCCTACTTCTCAAATCAACTGCCATGTTACAACACCAAGTCCTGCCAATTATCTAGCTAAACAGCTTTGAAATATGTCCACTTCATTCTTTTCCACCATCACGCTCCAAGTCCAAACACCATTGACACTCTCCTACATGACTGCAATCCCTTTCCCAGTGAAAAGTAAACCGAAATCTATGGCCATCAAGTCAATTCTAACTCAAAGGCACAGAGTAGAACTGCCCCAGAAAGTTTCAGGGCTGTAACCTTCTTGAAAAGGAGCTCTGGTATCACAGTGGTTACGAATCAGGCTGCTAACCTCAAGGTCGCCAGTTCGAAACTACCAGCTGTTCCATGGGAAAAAGATGAGGTTTTCTGCTCCCATAAAGATTTGCAGCCTCGGAAACCCTGTGCAGGGTCACTATGTTGGACTTACTAGTTGGAACTTACTCCACGGTACTTAATAACACAACAACAATCTTCTTGAAAGAAGAGTGCCACACCTTTCTCAAACAGAGTAACTGGTCCAGGTTTGAAGTACTGACCATTCAGTTAACAGCTGAGCGCTTAACCACTGTCATCAAAACTCCATCCCATCAGGGAAATACCCCTTAAAATACATATCAGTGCGCAAGGCAGGACAAGCGCTCTAAAGTGAACATCTGATAACTTCACTCCACAGCATAAAGCCATCTGATAACTTCACTCCACAGCATAAAGCCATTCCCACAGACTAGAGGGTAAATGACAGTCTTCTTACTATGCATACAGAAATTTGCATGACTTAGCCCATTTTCCTTTACAGCCTCTCCTTTTGCTTATTTCCCACTTCACACTCCATGCTCCAGGCAAGCTGAGTTTCTTTTAGTTCTTCAAACTGCTCATTTGGTCTCTTGTCTTTTGGTCTTCACCCATGTTTGAGACTCTTGACCATTGCCACTTGCCTAGCAAGGCCTGCCATCCTTTAGAAGATTGTGTAAAACTTACTTTCTCTGGAAAGCAGGCCTTGAATCTCCTTTCCCCATCAAGGTCTTGTATGCTCACTCTGAGCATCAGCACCTCCTCCATAGCAGCAATTTAACATTCTTATTGTGCCTATTTATCTCCCATGTTGGACTATAAATGCACGGGCAGGGGCTCTGTATCTGCCCTGCTCAGCATTATCAGTCGAACTCTTATAGTACACACAACAGGTGGACAGTGATTCCTTATTGAATGAACATAATTCTTCTGAATGAATAAACTGAGAGCATTTGTTTTTATTATCATTCAGTATCATCTCCCATGTGGATGATGTGATTTCTCAAATCCCCATCACAGATAAGTAAGATTAGAAAAATAAAGGTCCCAACTAAAGCAATAAATTTTCTTCAAATGCTTTCACTGCATAATTAGAATAACAAAAACAACCAATCTAATAAAAAAAAACTAAAATAGTATTAACTTAGTAATAACAGGCCCTATACATTTTCTTTGGAATCCTGGTGTGGCGCTGTGGGTTAATGTGTGGACTGAAAAGTTGTTTTGAACCACAAGGTTGGTGGTTCAAGTTTACCAGCCACTCCTCAGAAACCCTATACAGGGTCGTTATGGGTCACAACTGACTCAACAGCACTTAAGCAACAACAACATATATACATTTCCTTTACAGTGATTGGTTGGTTTTGCTTCTTAAAAAGATTTCTGGGGGGTTTCCATGCTCATGATTTCAACT